CGGGGCCACGCCCAGACAATGATCAATCCACTAAGTTCAAAAGATTACAAATGACCGAACGGTCTTACACACTCAACGACTCCCTCCTTGACGATGTCGCCGTTGCCTAGAATCTCCTTAGAAAGCTTGATCCACGAGCACCACTCGACTTGACGGTTTCCTCGCGAAACTAAAGAAATCTTCTCGTGAATAACCAACTCAAAAGTGTTATAACAATTCGTCGTAACACATCAGGCGACACTTAACATCCCAGTCTCATTCAGACATGAACAATTGCCAATATTCTGTTTTTAGCACCTATTCTTTCACTCACGTTCTCCCCTATATCAAAAGCACACATACCACTGTATAATTCATCACACCTCACCAACCCTGAATCCGTCCACCAATAAGCACACCCAAAACGTGGTAAAATCTTCTCCGTTAACCTCCAAATCAGATCACAGCACCAATAACAGTAAGAAGACAAACATTTCTAATATTTCTCACAATTCTTTCCTTAGAAGAACCAGCCATAATGCTCCATTGAAAGTCAACCAGCAGATGCCTATTTTAGAATGCATTACAACCAATTTGCTAAAAATAAGCCAACACAAAAAAAACACTAACATTATATTTTCGATTCGCTTATTTCTTTATGAAAAATATCATAACGGTAAAATATATTTTGCGTTGTGAGATCTATATCAAGTTCCTTTGAATTTCATATCATTTTATATAACCGATTTAAAATTGTAACCTACTGGTAGCATATTTCTTCATACTCGACCACAAACATCTGTTTATTTTCAATAATGAGATTCAATTTTCATTTCACAAGGCACCCACAATACTTGGAAAAGTATGAACCAATTATTATTTACCCCCCAAAACAGAATAAAGTACAGGTTCCTTATTTTGTAGCTAAATCAAGTTTTTATCGTAAGATTTTTTGTTTTGTTTTGTTTTGAATTTGGTGATGCATGATTTAAACTCTAGTTAAGTGTGGAATTACCGTTAAGTTAAGTTATGCTGCAACTGCTATGATTTTTTTTATTATCAGTTTTTTTTCAATGCCACCTCATTCTTTTGATATTTTATTTTATATTGGCATTACAAATATATTCAAATAGGGATTTTTCAAGCCGTTTCCTTTTCCCATTTGCTAGCCAGATCGGTAGCGCCTCAATTTTGAACAAGCTGGATTGCTTCAGATCTAGCGACCATCCTTG